TATGAGTTTTATTCTAAAACTATCTGCTCACATCCTCTCAAATGCATCATCTTTTTTGTAAATTGCAAAAAATCCATCATCTCACAAGTAACACTTTTCTAAATTATTTATATTATTAAATCCTTCAAAATGATTCGATTTAAATTATAACATGACGCGATGAATGACGTAATTTCAATACAATTAATATTATTTTAATTTGATAAAAACATTATTTGATCATTTTTCGACGCATTATGTCATTGCGCTAATCGAGATAATTTAGAGTAAGACAAATGTACCTCTATTGACATAAATTTGAATTAAAGCACGTAATAATAAAAAAAAGTGACATTTGATATAAATCACGAGATCGAACGTATGATCAATTAATTAGAATGATAACTCGCTTAAAGCAATTTATTTTTTTTGCGTGATGAATTTTAATTGAAAAACATACACGATTCATTGGCACTTGGGAATGGCCATGAGCTCAGTGAGTTAGTATGTCAATTATATCATAAGCCTATTACACAAAGAGTGTACTAACGTCGATACACAGGGAACTTAACTCACCGTCGCCTATTCAAGCTACATACGTGAGAATTGAGAGTTGTAACAGATTTTTCAAATATATTTTAAGATATTTACATTACAGTGTTATATCTCTTCTATTGTCACTTTTAATTACATTTTCTTCTTTTTGCGTTTTTTTATTAAGATTTTATCGATGCACGCATAATGCAAATTGTTATAATAATACATTTGTAAATTTATTTTATACATTAATAGATTCAATCAATGGATTTTGTCGCGCGAAACAAATGGAGCAAATTGTAATTGCAAATTGTAGCATTAATGTAGTCGTGCTAGTTTTTCAAATCCGTGACACAAATGAGAAACGAGTGATATATTGATCTAACAAGATCAGGTATCAGGAAAATCTCATATATCCAACTGCACACAGACGAGAGAATCCTCACGCGAGACTGAATTGTACGTGGGTATGTGCTATTTTATTAAAATTGTCGGTGAAATCGTCGCGTATTTGAATGCGTTCCAGTTACACAGTTCATTCAGGTCTGGTTTCAATGTCGACCTTTGCCGAGTCAAGAGCGGACCTTACGTAATCGCCGCTTTAAAAGGAACCACAAAAGATATGTATATGCGAGTAGACTATATCGCTAAATCGGATAAATTTCAGAAGCTAACAAAAGCTCCTATATTCGAAAAATTCTATTTTTTGAAATTATTCAACAAAACTTAACAAAACGCGAAGAAAAGTAAAAAAATATTATTAAAAAGACTTTTTTTCCGAGATTTGATATCCATTTACTTTTTAACTTTTCCTAGTATACAATAAACAAATTATTTTAGGACTACTATATTTTTCTCTTTTTCTTCTAAAATCTTGTAATTAATTCAAATTATTGTTATAAAAAAATATATAATAATAAGAATAAAAATGAAATATACTGAGATATTAAAAGTCTTGGAATTGTAAACAATTAAAGATAAAAGAACTATAAGATAGAAATTTTTTGACGAACTGTAAGATATAAATTTATGATTAATACTGATTGGATCAATTAAAAATTGACTTTAACGGGCCATTAAAGCAATAGAATTGAAATTAAAATTAACTTTAGTAAAGCTTTAGTAAAATTAAAATTAATTTTAGGTACAATTATTATGCAACTTTACATTTCTGTTAAATGTATATCTTCAAAGTTATTGCGCACTTCGCGTTACTGCGACATATAAATTGGCAATGAAAAAATTGTACGAGCAATTTCAATGACGGGACATTATCGTCAACCAGAGTTATACAATAAACACTAGCAATAAAGTTACTGATAATATGTAAACGATTGAACACAATGTGCTGTAAAAGTGCTATTAAAGATTTTTTTATTTTTCTTATGGCTGTAACGCGATATTAGTTCTGAAATATAAGACATCCGAATCGTGTCTTTAATACGAAATACACCGAAACTGCACCGCAATTGTACGATAAGTCATTGATATGCGCTATCAACCCAATTGCGGATATCACGTGGGACAAAACCACAGAAAAAATTCACAACACTCCATGATATCAGTAGATTTCTTCATTTTCATCAATAAACATGAAATTCTGTGCTGCGCATAATTTAAAATTTAAAAAAAATGTGAAGCCGACATTTTCAAACAAGACTCGATCGCGAGAAAGAAACTTGATTTAACCCAGTAAGACAATCTCGAAGAATAGTTGTATCGTTCACAGTACAACCACCGATCGTGTCAATTGTTGAATCTCGACAATGTGTGTCTTCGCATTATTGATCACGAATTGGCAGTTCCTGCAAGTAGCAGTCTAAAAGCTTTTTATTACTAGATATCGAATTGGCTGCGATATGCATAATTACGTATCATAATGCATAATAACACATCCATAATGCGGGCTAATCGACTGTTATTCATTAACGCGTCAATTGCGAACAGTCGCGTGTCGTTAAAAATGTCGTTAAAGACGCGATCACCGAGTTATTAACACCTTTTTTACCGATTTTACTGTGCAACACTATTTTAAAACGATGTAAAATCAATATTTTACCGAATCTCGGATATGCAAAATTTGAATTGAAATTAACTCTTAACTGGTATCACGTGATCTGCAAGATCACCGTTTATTATTAGTCAGATTGCAATTTGATAATTAAACGTTGATTAATTAGTGCTTGTTCCGATCACGCTTTTATTTATTTACTATGATCTTTATGCATTAAACTTTATGCATTTCTAATTTCAAATTCTTGTACGAAAAGAAAGACAAAGATTTCAGCGGAGAAATAATTAGGAAAACGGGCCTACATGAATATGACCTAATCCTCAAGTTACCGTACAAATTGCCGTGTTACAAGCGGTTGGAGTGTTACAGCTTCGCTCCTACACAGGATACGGTCATAGACGGGCCAGTGAATCCTATTCGCGCGTCATTGACCGACTGACTGTTATGAACGAATTTTTCCGCTCCACT